CCTTCCCTCCCTCCCTCCCTTCCCTCCCTCCTTCCTTCCTTCCCTCTTTGCTTCTAATCCTACTGTTTAATTTCCTCCCATTCCTTTCCCTTCCATTTCTCCCTCCCATTTTCTTCACCATCCCTTCTTCCGTGCCTCTCTTCCCTCCCTCCTTCCTTCCTTCCTTCCTTCCTTCCCTCCCTCCCTCCCTCCTTCCTCCTTTAACTCTATCTTACACTCTCTTCTAACTCCTTATCTGGGGGGTAGAGAGGACAGGTAGTTCTTGACAGGTGTGATAGCTACCTTCTCACTCAGGACAGGTGTTACGACAGGTGTGGGCCCAACATTCTTTTCACACTATCTCACGGCGAGAGAATGAGGTAGAATGTGTGTGTGTATGTGTGTGTGAGAGAGAGAGAGAGAGAGAGGGATGCTGTTGATGCCCCGTGTTAATTATTGATTACTCTCCTCATTCCTTGCCATCCTAGCGAGTCACTTTGTATTTGTGTCACCAGATGGCACCAGGAACCACCCCGTACCCTTGCCACCCCTTAGGAGCCACCCCTTACCTCCTGCCACCCCTTATGAACCACTCCTTACCTCCTGCCATCCCTTAGGACCACCCCTTACCTCCCCATCAAATCCCTCCTTCACCCCTTCCCCATCCCCACCATATCCTCTCCCCAACCCCTTCCTTCCCAACAAACCCCCTTCCCTTCTAACCCACCCCTTCCTGCCCCTCACTAACCTCCCCTCCTCTCCCCACACCCTGCTTTGTCAGAAAGAGATCATGGGGTGGGTGGGAGGGCGTCTTAGAGTGAAGTGTGTGTCCTCTTTCTGACGGCCAAGAACCTACGCTTTGATGGCTGGGTAGAGATGGGTGGCTGCTGTTGCATTTTGCCCTCTAGCGATATTTCCCAGAGATTTGAGGTCACTGGAGATGGAGGGAGGAAGAATGAATAGAGGAAGATAAAGAGAGTCAACAAACAACAAACACAACAAACACAGACAGTCAACAAACACATACAGTCAACAAACACAGACAGACTCGATCACGATAAGATAGGATTTACCTTCTTTAAGACGAAGCGGCAACAAGTTATTGAGATGAGGAGGTCTGAGAACCAATCATGCATTCAGCACCACCACTACCACCACTACCACCACTACCACCACCACCACTATCATCACCACCACCACCACTATCATCACCACCACCACCACCACCCTATCATCACCATTACCACCACCACCACTATCACATCACTACCACCACCCTATCATCACCACTACCACCACCACTATCATCACCCACTACCACCACCACTATCATCACCACTACCACCACCACCACTATCATCACCACTACCACACTACCACCACTACCACCACCACCACTATCATCACCCACCACCACCACCACTATCATCACCATTACCACCACCACCACTATCATCACTACCACCACCACTATCATTACCACCACCACCACCACCACTATCACACATCACTACCACCACCACTATCATCACCATTACCACCACCACCACTATCATCACCATTACCACCACCACCACTATCATCACCATTACCACCACCACCACTATCATCATCTACCACCACCACTATCATCACCACTACCACCACCACCACTATCATCACCATTACCACCACCACCTATCATCACCATTACCACCACCACCCACTATCATCATCATTACCACCACTATCATCACCACTACCACCACCACCACTATCATTACTACCACCACCACTATCATCACCACCACCACCACCACTATCATCACCATTACCACCACCACCACTATCATCATCATTACCACCACCACTATCATCTGCTACCACCACCACCACTATCATTACCACTACCACCACCACCACTATCATCATCATTACCACCACCACTATCATCACCACTACCACCACCACTATCATTGCCACTACCACCACCACTATCACCACTACTCCACCACTATCACTACCACCACTATCACCACCACTATCACTACCACCACTATCACTACCACCACTATCACTACCACCACTATCACTACCACTATCACTACCACCACCACTACCACTATCACTACTACTACCACCACCACCACTACTACCTATCACCACTACCACCACCACCACCACTACCACCACCACCACACCACCACCACCACTACTACTATCACTACCACACTACTATCATCGTACTCAAGGGTTTAAGGTAAATGACTCTAAAAGTAAGTTAAGGTAAATGACTCGTTAGGTAATTTAAAGTAATTGACTCAGTGTGTAAACTACCATAATAAATCACCTTTCTCAAACAATAACAAATGTTAATGACTTTTTTTTTTCTTTCCAGGTAAGTGTGATTGATGATGATGATGATGGAACGGTAAGTCAAGTATATGTTAAATAAACGTGTGAATGTCTGTCTGTCTTGTGTAATTGGTTAAGTTAGGTTAGGAATCCTTCATATGGTTAATGTATTCAAATCGTAACATTATCCCCCTTCCATTGATGAGTGGTTAATGGAAGGTCACTGTACTGAGGTTAATGGAAGGTCACTGTACTGTTGGTTAAGGTTTAGGTTAAGTATTGTACTAGTGGTTAATGTCCCCAAGGCGTAACGTTATCCTGTGTCTTGGGTATTTATCAATCCTTTACCAGTACGATATGTTTTCCCCCTGGGTTGGTTGGTACACCTGGCGCGGTCCATCCTTGATCTAGGGTTGGTGGGGGTGACGGTGAGGTAGTGAGGAGAACGGTGGGGGAGACAGTGGTGGTGGAGACAGTCGTGGGTCGTCAGGGGTCGACAGAGGTCGTGAAGAGAACCAGGAGTCGTGTGGTGGCAAGATTAGTAAACCTGTTTTTATTAAGTTTGTGCAGAAATTTGAATTACCTTTGGAAAGTCACTTATAGAAACTCTCTCTCTCTCTCTCTCTCTCTCTCTCTCTCTCTCTCTCTCTCTCTCACACACACACAGGCGAGGTCGCCATTCTGGTGTGGATATTCCCTTAGTGAAAATCATAGCGTAGCGCAGTAATGAAGCGGTTATGCCAGGTAAAGGTGATAGTCACAGAGGGAAGAAGGCTGTGGGTGAGAGGGAGAGAAGTGGGGTGGAGTGGGAGGAGAGGAGTGAGACTGACGTTGGTACCCAGCTGTGTGTCTGTGAGAGCAACCAGACTCCGACCTCCACCCTCTCTCTCTCTCTCTCTCTCTCTCTCTCTCTCTCTCCCCTCTTTTCTCTTGTCTTTTCTTTCAATTTTCCTCAGTTACTTGTATTCCCTCTCCTCCCACTCATTCTCACAGTATTGAATTCTCCCTCTCCCCTCTCACCATTCTCCCCTCCTCTATATTTCCCTCTCCTCCTCTTCCTGACCTTTCCCATTAACCTCCTCCAGATCATCCCACTCATTCAGATCACCCCTCTTATTCATTCAGATAACCCCACTCACTTATTCAGATTATCCCACTCACTCACTAGCCCCCCTCATACCATCCCACTCGCCGCACCTGAACTCGCACTATACCTTTAATACCACCCCAGACGCTACTCCCACTCGTCGCCCCTCACTAGCCCCCACACACACACCCCTCTCACTCACTCCTCACCCACCTCCTCCCACTCACTCACCCCCCTCCCACTTACTCACCCTCCCCTCCCTCACCCTCCTCCCCTCCCCACTCACCCACCTCCCCTCCCCTCCCACTCACCCCCCTCCCTTACTCACCCACCTCCCTCCCCTCCTTACCACCCCCCTCCCCACTCACCCCACCTCCCCTCCCACTCACTCACCCCTCCACCCCACTCAACAAAAGAACGAAGTGATGTTAGCGGTGAATGACTCCGTGACGTCGACGCCTCTGATTGGCTAAGATAGATTAACTACTCTGGCTTGGTGGTAACGACCTTGTGAGAGATAGATTACATTTGTTTCGGGCGATTAGGCTCCATTCTTGATGTAAGGAGGGGTGGAGGCCTGTTGGTGGGGGCGGCAGGAAACTAATTAAATAGATTCTCACTGTATGTAATTTTCTCTCTCTCTCTCTCTCTCTCTCTCTCTCTCTCTCTCTCTCTCTCTCTCTCTCTCTATTAAAGATACCTCTCGTGTCAGTAACTCTGAGGGCTCCATTGCCACATTACATTAACTCTGTTCTGGAGCCTTGGAGGTGATCAGTAAACTCTAAGGTGAATCAATACCAGTTTTCATTTACAATCGTTGATGGGTGAGGGGTGAGGGTGAGGTGAGTAAGATTGCATGATCATTATTTATAATCACATTCATTCCCCTCTCACCCCTCTCACCCCCTCCTCCCTCCCTCCCTCTGCGGTACAAACACGATTTATCATGCGACTCGAAGGAATGCGGCCTCCCCTTCCCTTCCCTCTCCCCCCTCCTTCCCTCTCTCCCCTCCCCTCTCCCCCCCTCCCTCTCTCCCCTCCCTTTCCTCCCCCACCTGATAACTCGTGTGTGTAGGTGTGTGTGTGTGTGTGTGTGTGTGTGCGTGCGTGCGTGTGTGTGTGTGTAATGCATTTTGTTAAGTTTGATGGAAGTTCAGGTATCGTGTAGTGGTCGTCGATGGTGGTAGTAATTGTGGTAGTAGAATGGTGGTAATATGGGCCTAATGTTTTTTAACAGTGTGGTGGATGGTGGTAGTAGTGGTGGATAATGGATAGTGGTAGAGTGGTTCCGATACTTAGGGTAATGTGGTGGTGGTAGTAGGATAGTGTTAGTAGGATGGTGGTAGTGGTTCCTAAATTATATCATTGTGTTGGTAGTTAGTGGTCGTTAATGTATGTATGTATGTATGTATGTATGTATGTATGTATGTATGTATGTATGACTAGGGCGTTAGGTGCATCATAACTGCAGTGGGTGAGGAGGAAGAGAAAGAGGGAGGAGAGGAGGGAGAGGAGGGTACCTATAGGTGGTGGAGGGACTGGTGGCGGAGGGTGGAGGGTAAGGGAGTGAGGCGAGCGTGTGTGGGTCGTCACATTGGGGAAACTCGTCACTGTGAGCACACGTGAGGCGCTGCTCCTGGCTCTGGCCTGGCTCTGGCCTGGCTCTGGGTTACCTCTCACTCCCTCAGGCAACCGTAGGGGCGCAGGAGTTGGCTAGGTCGAGTCCTACAAAGGTCCTGGCGTCCTTACCTCCCAACTGTTGCTGGACGCGCGGGGAGGGAGGAGGGGCAGGTCCTACGAGGAGTCCTGCACACCTGCCACACACACACACACACACCTGTCCTCCGTATCCTGCGGGGAACTTCTCGTCTCTTGTGTGGTGTTGCGTCCAGTGTTGCGTCCAGTGTTGCGTTAGTTGTGTTGCGTGCTGTGTTGCGTCCAGTGTTCCGTTATTCGTTTTACATGATGTTACAGAATTTTGCCTTGACCATTTGTTACTTTACGTTACTCATTTGTTACTTTACGTTACTTAAGTTACTTTACGTTACTCATTTGTTACTTTACGTTACTAATAGTTATTTAACGTTAATCCTTCGTTACTTTACGCTATTCAGTTGTTACTTTACGTTACTCAGTTGTTTCTTTACGTTACTCATTTGTTTTTACGTTACCATTTGCTACTTTACGTTACTCATTTGCTACTTTACGTTACTCATTTGCTACTTTACGTTACCTATTTGCTACTTTACGTTACTAATTTGTTACTTTATCTCATTTGTTACTTTACGTTACTCGGTTGTTACTTTACGTTACTCATTTGTTACTTTACGTTACTCATTTGTTACTTTACGTTACTCAGTTGTTACTTTATCTCATTTGTTACTTTACGTTACTCAGTTGTTACTTTACGTTACTCATTTGTTACTTTACGTTACTCATTTGTTACTTTACGTTACTCATTTGTTACTTTACGTTACTCATTTGTTACTTTACGTTACTCAAGTTACTTTATCTCATTTGTTACTTTACGTTACATCTTAGGGAAGTCTTGTGTTACTCTTCCGTCTGTCCGTTCGTTCGTCCATCATTTTGCGTTATACTGAGTTACTGCCGCGTTATACTGAGTTACTGCCGCGTTATACTGAGTTACTGCCGCGTTATACTGAGTTACTGCTGCGTTATACTGAGTTACTGCTGCGTTATACTGAGTTACTGCCGCGTTATACTGAGTTACCGCCGCGTTATACTGAGTTACTGCCGCGTTATACCGAGTTACTGCCGCGTTATACTGAGTTACTGCTGCGTTATACTGAGTTACTGCTGCGTTATACTGAGTCACTGCTGCTATACTGAGTTACTGCTGTGTTATACTGAGTTACTGCCGGTTATACTGAGTTACTGCCGCGTTATACTGGTTACTGCCCGCGTTATACTGATTACCGCGTTATACTGAGTTACTACCGCGTTATAACGAGTTACCGCGCGTACTGAGTTACTGCTGCGTTATACTGAGTTACCTGCCCATAATAGTTACCGCTATACTGAGTTACTGCCGCGTTATACTGAGTTACTGCCGCGTTATACTGAGTTACATGCCGCGATACTGAGTTACTGCCGCGTTATACTGAGTTACTGCCGCGTTATACTGAGTTACTGCCGCGTTATACTGAGTTACTGCCGTTATACTGAGTTACTGCCGCGTTAAATTGAGTTACTGCCGGTTATACTGAGTTACTGCCGCGTTATACTGAGTTACTGCCGCGTTATACTGAGTTACTGCCGCGTTATACTGATACTGCCGCGTTATACTGAGTTACCGCCGTTATACTGAACGTCGCCGTTATACTGAGTTACTGCCGCGTTATACTGAGTTACCGTTATACTGAGTTACTGCCGCGTTATACTGAGTTACGGCGTTATACTGAGTTACTGCCGCGTTATACTGAGTTACCGCCGCGTTATACTGAGTTACTGCCCGTATACTGAGTTACCGCCACATACTGAGTTACTGCCGCGTTATACTGAGTTACTGCCGCATTATACTGAGTTACTGCCGCGTTATACTGAGTTACTGCTGCGTTATACTGAGTTACTGCTGCGATAACTGAGTTACTGCTGCATTATACTGGAGTTACTGCCGCGTTATACTGAGTTACTGCTGCGTTATACTGAGTTACTGCCGCATTATACTGAGTTACTGCTGCGTTATACTGTTTATACTCAGTTACTGCTGTGTTATACTGAGTTACTGCGTTATACTGAGTTACTGCCGCATTATACTGAGTTATGCCGCGTTATACTGAGGTACTGCTGCGTTATAATTGAGTTACCGCCAGTTATACTGAGTTACTGTCGCGTTATACTGAGTTACTGCTGCGTTATACTGAGTTACTGCCGCGTTATACTGGAGTTACTGCTGCGTTATACTGAGGTACTGCCGCGTTATACTGAGTTACTGTCGCGTTATACTGAGTTACCGCCGCGTTATACTGAGTTACTGCTGCGTTATACTGAGGTACTGTTATACATGAGTTACTGCTGCGTTATACTGAGTTACTGCTGCGTTATACGATTACTGCCGCTGTATACTGAGTTACTGCCGCGTTATACTGAGTTACTGCCGCGTTATACCGAGTTACGCGCGTTACCGAGTTACTGCGCGTTATACTGAGTTACTGCCGCGTTATACTGAAGTTACTGCTGCGTTATACTGAGTTACTGCAGCGTTACTGAGTTACTGCCGCGTTATACTAATTACTGCCGCGTTATACTGAGTTACTGCCGCGTTATACTGAGTTACTGCCGTGTTATACTGAGTTACTGCTGGTTATACGGAGTTACTGCCGCGTTATACTGGTTACTGCGCGTTATACGTTACTGCCGCGTTATACTGAGTTACTGCTGCATTATACTGAAGTTACTGCCGCGTTATACTGAGTTACTGCTGCGTTATGGTACTGCGTTATCCTGAGTTACCGCGTTATACTGAGTTACTGCTGCGTTATACTGAGATTACTGCTGCGTTATACTAGAGTTACTGCTGTGTTATACAGTTACTGCTGTGTTATACTGAGTTACTGCCGCGTTATACTGGAGTTACCGCCGCGTTATACTGAGTTACTGCCGCGTTATACAAGTTACTGCCGCGTTATACTGAGTTACTGCCGCGTTATACTGAGTTACTGCCGCGTTATACTGAGTTACTGCCGCGTTATACTGAGTTACTGCCGCGTTATACTGAGTTACTGCCGCGTTATACTGAGTTACTGCCGTTATACTGAGTTACTGCCGCGTTATACCAGAGTTACTGCTGCGTTATACTGAGTTACTGCCGCGTTACTGAGTTACTGTTGTTATACTAAATTACTGCCGCGTTATACTGAGTTACTGCCGCGTTATACTGAGTTACTGCCGCGTTATACTGAGTTACTGCTGTGTTATACTAATTACTGCCGCGTTATACTGAGTTACTGCCGCGTTATACTGAGTTACCGCCGCTGTATACTGAGTTACTGTCGTGTTATACTGAGTACTATGCATTATGCTGTTTACTGCCGCGTTATACTGAGTACTGCTGCGTTATACTGAGTTACTGCTGCGTTATACTGAGTTGCTGCCGCGTTATACTGAGTTACTGTCGCGTTATACTGAGTTACCGCCACATTATACTGAGTTACTGCCGCGTTATACTGAGTTACTGCCGCTGTATACTGAGTTACAAATGCTTTCATGCGCAAATATGTTACTCCCGTTACATTTTGTTACAGTAGTGTTACTATACGTTATGTTTAGTGATACGCTTTATTTGTTATCGTAAGTTAACTCATGTTATCTGCGTTACATAATGTTATCTCTACTCTGGTGTTATCCTATGTTGCATAGTTATCTCCGTTATTTTTGTGTTATTCTGCGTTATTTGTTGTTATAAGCGTTACTCAAGTGTTATTAACGCTATTCACTTTGTTATTAATGTTACTCGTCATTGTTACTTGGTGATATTTATGTTACTGTGTCATCAGCGTTACTTGGTGTTATTAACGTCATTTATCAGCGTTACTCGGTTTTATTAATGTTATCCAGTGTTATCAACGTTACTTGGTGTTATTATCGTTACCAACTGTGACCTACAAGTGTGAAATAAACATTAGTGATGTGTTACTCAAAATCGAAACGAGCGAAAATAAATTGAAAAAAAAAATTAACTACTGGAAAAAAAACCGATACATATATATAAACAAATATTTTGCCGTATGGGAACTAACATTCATCCCACCTGTGTTAAAATTACTCTCGTCTCTCCTGGAAAAAAAAAGTGGCTGAATTAAAACGATAAAAAACGGAGGATGAAAACGAGCTCGACCTTCCATTCTTTGTTCGTCCTAGAAAAAAAAACCCCAATGACTGTGGTGGTTGTGAAGGAAAATGGTGGAAGAATTGGTGTTTAGTGTTGAACGAGGTGGTTGAAGGTGGTTAATGGGATGTGTTAACTATCTCACTGTGCCTCGTTAACTTGTGCCCTGTTAACTAGTGCCTCATTAACTATTTTCTTGTTAGTTAGGGCCAATTTGACCTTCAGTGACCTTGTTAGCTAGTGCCAGTTTGACCCCATCTCCCCCTCTTGGTTCTTTTGCAGCTGAGTCAGGTCGCCCAAGCAGTCAGGTCATTCAAATAGCCAGTCAGGTCACCAAGGTAGCCAGTCAGGTCACCCAAGCAGTCAGTCAGGTCATTCATATAGCCAGTCAGGTCACCAAGGTAGCCAGTCAGGTCACCCAAGCAGCCAGTCAGACTAGAACGTTCATATAATATTGAATAACAAGACAATACTGACTGGCTCTTATCATACAGTCAAAAATACACAATTCATACGATTTATGTATACTTTTAATGCACACACACACACACACACACACACACACACACACACCACACGCACACACACACACACACGGATTATTAGCAAATTGTTTAGAAAATTAAAGATAGCTCAACTTATCTCGTGTGGGCGTAGTGTGGGTGTGTAGTATGGAGAATGTTTCTATATAGTAGTGGTACACAGGGTTATACATGTTGGAGATACACATACGTAGACAGTATGCGTGTATGTATGAGAGACATGTATATT